AACTGTTAAACTTCCCCATCCCCCGCGGCAACTGATGACATCACAACACTAAGGAAACGATTTGATGACATTTTATTTCTGGCAGAAAACTTTGCACTTTTTTTTTAATTAGATTAAATAAAATAACTTATTTCAGTTTTTTATATTATTTAACTTATACCGTCATTTGTATTATTATTTGTTTTAAGATTATTACTGCGATGAACTCTGAAATAAACTATTTTACTGTGTGACGTATGGTGTGATGTCATGGGGGAGAGCGAGGGACCGGAACGGAGGGGCTGGTTGTCTTGGTCCACCAATCACATCGCGTGCATATGGCTGGTGCCCCGCCCACCTGTGTTCCACCATATATGGGCACAAGGGTCCATTATTGGGTCGCAGGTGCTCCGCCCACCTGTGTTCTGCCATATATGGGCACAAGGGTCTACCATTGGGTCACAAGGTGCTCCAGCCACCCATGTTCCACCATATATGGGCACAAGGGTCCATTATTGGGTCGCAGGTGCTCCGCCCACCTGTGTTCTGCCATATATGGGCACAAGGGTCTACCATTGGGTCACAAGGTGCTCCAGCCACCCATGTTCCACCATATATGGGCACAAGGGTCCATTATTGGGTCGCAGGTGCTCCGCCCACCTGTGTTCTGCCATATATGGGCACAAGGGTCTACCATTGGGTCACAAGGTGCTCCAGCCACCCATGTTCCACCATATATGGGCACAAGGGTCCATTATTGGGTCGCAGGTGCTCCGCCCACCTGTGTTCTGCCATATATGGGCACAAGGGTCTACCATTGGGTCACAAGGTGCTCCGCCCACTTGTGTCCTGCCATATATGGGCACAAGGGTCTACCATTGGGTCGCAGGTGCTCCGCCCACCTGTGTTCGGCCATATATGGGCACAAGGGTCCATTATTGGGTCACAAGGTGCTCCGCCCACCTTTTGTTCTGTCATATGTGTGCACAAGGAAATAAATTACAGAAGGTAGGTATTCGATTTCTCTGAGGACATTAGGCATCCTGAGCGCTCAAGCTGTTGTGAAACTACATATCCTATCATGCTGCTCCCTCCGGGAGTCATGTCTGTGGCTGTCAGAATCTTGCAATGCCTCATGGGACATGTAGTTCCACAGTAGCTGGAGTGCTGAGGTTGCCGACCCGTGATATGATATCATTTGTACGAACAGAGCATCGTCACCCTATAACAGGAAGTACCTAAACAGGGACAGAGCGTGGTCACCCTATAACAGGAAGTGCCTGAACAAGGACAGAGCGTTGTCACCCTATAACAGGAAGTGCCGGGATAAGGACAGAGGGCCGTCACCCTATAACAGGAAGTGCCGGGATAAGGACAGCTTTTTCACCCTATAACAGGAAGTACCTGAACAGGGACTCAGTGTTGTCACCCTATAACAGGAAGTGCCAGAACAAGGTCCTCCATGGCGGGATCTCCGTAAATTAAATGTAAGCTACAGATTTATAAAGATGAAAACGACGTTTACAATGAAATGACTTTTATTTGGGGTTCGGGTGATTTGGAGTTACATCCTCTTGTCGGTGTCACTGTAGAGGAATGTTGATCCCGAGAGCCAGATTCCGGCCATGCAGTAAAGACGACCTGTGATTGGCTGCTGATTGAACCGCTGCCCTTTGACCTTCTATTTCCGGTATTCTGTGCTTGTCGGCGGCTGTCCTTCTTCAGACTGAGCGCCGCCCGCTGTCCGATGGTGGCCACGCCCCTCCTAGAAGGTCTTCACTTTGGGTAGAACGCACAGCATTTCGAACAAGAGGTTGGCGGCGGTCAGAGCCGTGTTACCTGCAACGCAATTCATGATCATTGAACCGGAGGCAACGCGGAGGGGTGAGGTTCCTCTCCGGGGCAAACCGAGAAAAAAAAACTGCCCTTGGAGTGGGGCTCCCCCGCACGGTGAGGGGTGAAGGCTGCTAGACCCGTCCCCGCAGCCTCTTCTCCCATTCGCTCCGGCAGTCGGAGGCCCGCTGGTGTCATCACATCTAATGCAGGTTCCATAGCTTTGCATCAGAGGTGATGATGCCGCGGGACACCGGCCGCGGTGGAGGAGGAGGGGCATGTGACCATTTCAGGAGACCGTCCTAACCATGACTCTCTGCCAGGCTGTCATGGCTCCTCCCTCTGCGTCTTATTGGAGGTATGGAGCTGGTTCTACACGGTCATATGACTATTCTACACAGCCCATCAACACTCACCTGAGAGGTCATACATTGGGGCGACTTCCACCAGGTCACCCCCTACGATGTTCAGTCCTCGGCAGCCGCGGATGATCTCCAGAGCCTGGAGGGCGGAAACCAAGAAAAGTTCAGGTTGGCTCAGGTTGCTATTGGCCAACACCAACCAGGAGGAGTCTTGGGCAGCCCAACCTACCGGCTTATGGACTTGATTTTCCTACCTGATGTGTTGTGAGACCGGCGACCTCCGGGGTCCCTGTGCCGGGGGCAAACGATGGGTCGATACCATCAATGTCAAAAGTGATGTAAACGGGCTTGTCCCCCATCTGGAGGCGGACCTCCGACATGAGCGGAGCCAGAGACTTGAACCAGCAATCTTCAGCGATGACGACCCGGAATCCCTGCAAGATATAGGAGATGCAGCTAACTTATCCTGTTCAGTAGGATAGGAGTTGGTAAGGCGCTGGACTCTGCCGGACCATGGTGGACTCTGCCAGACCCCGGGGTAAGAATATCTTAGGGTAATGGTCCAACCTTCAGAGGCAGCTCTCTGTCAACTGGGGTGTCCAAGAGGTTCCCCAGAGCAGTCTAGGGTGCGTACAATGGATGAGAGTGCCACAAAGGCTTGCGTGGGTCCAATAAGAATGTGTCTTTAGAAGAAGTCAAACAGCTGACGCGTTTCGTGGGCTCAACTCTCCCCTTCGTCAGGGCTTGAGTACTGGCAGTACTATCAGTAAGATACGGGACAATGGTTGCCAATCAAATGGATACGATGGCAGTGATTTGAGTTGCCAATCAAACGTATTCTTACTGGACTCACTTGTGGAGGTTCTTGTGGTGCTCATAGCCAACATTGGCGAGGAGCTGGAGCAGCACGCGGCCACCCGCATACCGCATGGCCGGGGCGCCATCATCCCATGACCATATACCTGGGACCACCTACCTGGTCGTTGCAGAATTTGTAGGGATCGGCGGTGTAGGAGGAGCCTCGGATTCCAATCTGCACCACCCTCTTACAGTCCAGGAGGCCCTCGTCCACGCAGCGCCGGAAGGGCGTCCCGTGGTAGATCTTCTCGCCGAGCGCCATGTCTCCCGTGTCGGTGTGCGCGTCCACGTGTACCAAGCCTACCGGACCGTGCCTGGAGCGCGACAACACAGACAATCGTCATCACATTCCAAAGTATGGTTGTAAGATTTATTCCCGTAGGTGCCCCTCCCCCTCCTCCCGCTCCTCAGGGGTGTATACTGAGATGGACTGAACCATGCTCCAGTCACATGATGCAGATTTTTTTAGAACGACATGGTGGGAAGGGGGCGGGCACAGACACAAAATAGGGCGGGGTGGGAAATAAATATAAAACAAACTCATTATATACAGAGAGAGAGAGAAAGTGACTCTGGAGGACCCCTCTGCGAGCTCGCTGATTGAAGCTGAGCCCCCCCCCCCCCCCAACTCACACGCATCAA